ATATATATATATATATATATATATATATATATATATATATATATATATATATATATATATATATATATATATATATATAACATAGGTTAAGGCAGTTGCTCGGTTTTCCCGTCCTACAAAAATAAATAAAGTGCGTAATTTTCTCGGTCTTTCGGAATATGCTAATTTAGCTTCGCCGCTAACCAAGTTACTCAAAAAAATAACGCTGTATTTGTCTAGAATGATGAACAAGAAGATAGTTTTGATGAATTTAAGGAAACACTCACCATTGCATCAGTGTTGGCCTTTCCTGACTACAAGGAAGTTTATACTATGTACCAACGTTTCAGGACAATGGCTCGGCGCTGTTCCCATGCAGCTAAAAAGGGGCAAAAAATTGAGTGATTGCTTACGCAAGTCGTTAACTCAATGATTCAGTAACTCTCGACTCAGTAACACATCTAGAGGCGTTAGCGGTTGTCTGGTCACTAACGAAATTTAGAAATATAATTTTTGGATACCAGATAACTGCTCATATAGATCACGCAGATGTGGAGTTATCCCAAGGCAAAAAAAAAAAAAATGAGGTAGACTTGCCCGTTGGTATCTGACAAATCAAGAATTAGCGTCCCACTTTGAATGTGGCTGCTGATGCATTATCAAGATATATAGCCCCCACATAAATATCTTCGCTAATTCTACAGCAGTTAAGAAATGAACAACGATGAGGTCTCTGGTGGTCGTAAACCATTTATTTTCTAGAATCAGTCACTTTGAATTATGACAAGACATATTGCACCACTTCAAAAATATAGGACAATACTGAATCGGTACCACGATGTATCCCAAGCAGGTCATCCCGGACTTGACAAATGCCTTGCTGAAATAAGAAAGGCATATTATTGGAGTACAATGAAAAACAACATCGAGGAACACATTGATAAGTATTTATTTTGTGCACTATACAAAAGCACCACGTGATGCAGCCTGCTCCAATGCTTGAATATCAATCACCGTCCGGGTCGTGATCAACTTGTTGCAACTTTCTCATTTCGACATGGAGTGCATAGATCACTTCTCCAGATTTGTGAGTCGAGTCTCCTTGCAGCATAAATCAGCGGAGACGGTGGCCCACTGTCTAGAGATGCATATTTATACTGTAGTCTGAATTATTTATAGGTATTCAGTTATATCAAATTCATCTATAATCATTAAGCTATCATGCAATTAACATTTAAAAAGTTAAAGTTGAGCACTTACTGAGAAACGTGCATATGCACTGTATTATCACAACGTAAAAGATACAAACATATTTTACTCAATTAACATGGAGTTAACACATTTTAAGACAAACTACATATTTCCAAATGTTCTCCAATCATCAAAAATTATCACATTATACTTTAAGTAATTAAACAATCAATGATTACTTCACAATTTAAGAATTTATCTAAACATTGGTTACCAGCTGATGTTTCCATGTGAAAGTGTAAATCGATGTAGGATTTTTAATGCTAGACGCGATTGTATTTTTTAAAACTCAATCTCCATCGAGTTGGAGGTACAACCCAGGTCAAGAGGCCTACAACCACAAAATCACTGCCATATGACAAAGCTTTTATTTTATTTTTTTTACGGAGTTGTGGTCACGGCTGTGATAAAGGCCAACCAGGGAGTGTAGTACTGTGCCTTTAGTTAAATCAGTTCATAGTGTCATCAGTGACCGAAGACGAAGTTGTAAGTAACTTAAAGTGAATACAAATTGGCAAGCAAGCTGGTAAGGCACCACTGCCAACAGAAACCAAGTCGTGTTATAGGTGCCACAGAGACTTCAAATTTTATTTTGTTTGTGTGCTTTCTCATGGACTGAAACTGTGCCTACAATACACCATTCACAGGGAGATACAGAGTACAGACTACACTGATAATTTTTATGCCTCTCCTGCCCTGGCCAAGTTCCTACTTGAACATGACATCGGTTCTTGTGGAACTGTACGCAAGAACCGGAAACACTGGCCCGTGTTTACTCGTAAACCTGCCCGAGGAGAGATCCAGCTGAAGCAAGCAGACAAGATGCTTGCAATACGTTGACAAGAAAAGCGTACTGTGCAGATGCTGTCAACCGTGCATAAGGGTGAAATAGTTGACAGTGGAAAAAGGGACTGGTCCTCAGGAGAGGTAATGAAAAAACCTGACCCTGTCGTGGAATACAATGTCAACATGCGCCTCGTGGACAAGAGTGACATGCAGGTTGGCGCAAGTGAGTGTGTAAGGAAATGTCTGAAGTGGTACACCTCATGGACATCACCAACCTGAATGCATACAACTTGTACCTAGTAAAAACCAGGAAAAAACCCTCTCTCGGGGTATTTCAGAAGCAAGTGATAATGCAAATCCTGGAGAAATATGGCACCATCGTGGCAGCTGTACCACGACGTCACAGCCAAGCAGGCCTACCTGACAGATTGGTTGCACGTAACTGGGTTGTTCGTCACAACATGGACTTCTTACCAACTGGTCCAGGTGGTCATAAGGGGGCAAAGGCGATGTTATGTCTGTGCTAATGTAAGGGAGGGAACTTCCTTACTTTATTTCATACTATTCTTCTGATTTATTCATATACTTATTTATTTATTTTCTTACTTATGTCTATCTTTCATATTAAACTTTCATGGTGTATATATTTAGTAATTTTCTATGCTGGGTCTTTATTTCCACATATATATATATATATATATATATATATATATATATATATATATATATATATATATAATCAACACCTCAACCCGCCAGGATTCGAACCCACGGCCCACGAACCCATGACTGTGACCGGGGAACGCTACCTCTGGACCACCAGTCCTAGACTCTGTTATATTTCACACAAAGCCTGTTCAACGAGCTTATGGCGCCGTGAACCTCAAATGGGGACTACCCGTATCATGTAGGTGGTCAGAGTAACGTTTCACCAAATCCGGCTCTATAAGCTCGTTGAACAGGCCTTGTGTGAGATATAACAGAGTCTAGGACTGCTTTTAGTATCCTGGTGGTCCAGAGGTAGCGTTCCCCGGTCACAGTCATGGGCCGTGGGTTCGAATCCTGGCGGGTTGAGGTGTTGATTGTATGTAGAAGTCCGCGTGCTTTATTGGGCTAATGAAATATATATGGATCTTTGTGTTTCGAAGCCGGATTTGGTAAAACGCTACTCTGACCACCTACGTGATAAGGGTAGTCCCCATTAGAGGTTCACGGCGCCATAAGCTCGTTGAACAGGCTTTGAGTGAAATATGACATTGTCTAGGACTGCTTTTAGTATCCTGGTGGTCCAGAGGCAGCGTTCCCCGGTCACAGTCATGGGCTCATGGCCGTGGGTTCGAATCCTGGCGGGTTGAGGTGTTGATTGTATGTAGAAGTCCGCTTGCTTTATTGGGCTATATATATATATATATATATATATATATATATATATATATATATATATATATATATATATATATATATATATATATATATATATATATTATATTTCTCTGCTTATATTTTCCAAGTCAATATTCTTGTCTTTACCTCATTTCTTTTCATATATAATATAATATTTTCTGAATTTCAATGTTCTTACCTTGGTGAAGTATACTCTGTTTTTACTTATATTCTAATCCATGGATTAGTCTGGGGAACCATGTATTTCTTATTACAACACCCAGACTTTTATTAGAATATACCATGTCTTAGTACTGTTAGGTAGCCTACTAGCGAGCTTCTAGGCATGTGAGTACAAGTATTATTTTCTGAGAACCAATGTTTAGAAGGAATAGAGCAGTGATACTTGTAGTTTACTAATTTAATATTTATTAACATAAGGAGTGAATAAGATGTTAATTAAGTTCACTCAGACAAGACTGGACCACTTAAGTCTTACTTTACCATTCATAAAATAGATCTTCAATTACTTTTTACATCATTAAACAACTTCAATTATTTATTACATCATCAAAAAACTGTTGTATTATTTCTTTGACAAATAAGATGCAATTGTTATTACACACGTTCAGACCGGACTGGACCCTCAGGTCTTACTTTACAATTAACAAATTACATCTTCAATTCTTGGTTACAACATTTAACAATCATTATATTATTCCATTGTCACTACAGATGGTTATATGACACTTGACAATATCCCGAATTAAATATTCTTTGTAACAACATGCTATTTTGGAATGAATAACATGGCACTTCAACTAGCCTTCAGTGGCTGGTGGACTCAACTCCGATAACAACAGTAGCACTGGTACGCCAACATTCATAGGTTCAATACTTAACCTGTGATAATTATGTGTCTGTTAATTATCACCAATCATGTGCAACAACATTAATACTTTGCCCATATAACTGTAAGGAGTGCCCCAGGATATATGACACTGGTGTCTCCACAACAAATGAAGATCACTGTTAGGAATCGGTTGTAGACAGATACACGGCGACTTGGCTGAGGGAGTCCAGCCTAGTTCCCAGGGGCGGAGTCTGCGGACTCGCACAGTTTAATCCTGCCGAATTAACGACATCGTCCACTACAGCTACCTGTTATGCAGCTACCGATCCCCGGTAGCTGCTGGGTATTAAGCCAACACACACACTGGGCCTGGAGATGCGTTGAGGAAGAGTCACGAATGTGTAAATGTCTAACTTCAACTATACAAAACTTACATCTGGCAATGACAGACAACATTTACGTTATATTAATTCTTTCACTGGGTAAATGACAATTTCACTATTACAACATGAACACTGATATTCACAAAATCGACAAAGTTAAACTGACTTTACATG